ATGTCAACTAGGTAAGTTCTTACAATCTTTACAGAGGAAAGCATTTCTTAAAGAACAGCAAATTTTATTACAGATAGCCAGATGAGGGGTAGGGGAGGAGGTTACAGGAAACTGATACCTAAGGCTTTCACAGCCTTTTAGGAATTGAAACTTAACCTAGTTGGATAGAAAGGGGAAATGGGGAGGAGGAGGCTGAATGACACATACAGAACAGACAATGAGGCGCAACGTTTAGATTTAGGCTATAACAATTTCATCCACAGCAAACATTTTGGTAAACAAAAATAAAACTTTGTGATCAGTGCATGACATGAAAGTAAATGTTCCAGTGGGAAAATCTTGCATATTTAGAAAGAATCTCTAAACAACCTTGAAAAATAAACCTCTATGACAGCTGCTTGCCCTTGGTTTTCTTATTTACATATTTTTAATTGAAAGTATTGAGGTACAAAATTTGCCTAAATCACACAATACTGATCAATTCATCAAGCTCTTATTTGTGGACCCATATCTAACAAATTAGAATGTCTTCTCTGAGTTTTCTGTACTACTTGAGTCTACATGCTTTCTGTCTTGCCTTGTGTTTTGATGTCTATTTTATAGGGCTCTATTTTCAGGGAGTACAACTTTTCAGGTCAGAAACTTTATTGTTTGATTTTGCCAGAAACACCTGCTGTCATGTTGTGTGCCCTTTTTTGAAGCATGAAGTTTGAATTAAGTTTTTGTAAATCTAAATAGAAAAACCTCTAGATTCTAGTTTCAACAACAGATTTCAGTGCCTCTTGGTCCCCATTGTGACAGTGCTTTTGAAGTTTATACAGAAAGCTTTGAATGTTAGTTTATGCCCTTTATTTTTTTCTTATAACTCCTAAGATACCTCTTAAGCCTTATCCTTTATTCTTTCATAAGTTGTGTGGATCAAAATTCATTGTATTTAGGATCGTTGTACATAGGATCAAAATTCAAGTTGCCAAGCTGTCTTCATAACGGTATGAAGGGCTTTTGCTCAATTACACTGAGAATATTAATTTCCATTGCTTAACTAGACAAATAAAGAGGTAGTAAATCCATATTTTACTGAAGAAAACTGCCCTATATGTTTAGAACTCCTGGTAAAATAATCTCTCTAATCTGGTGGAATTGCAGTTTCCTTCTTAGTTTTCTTTCGTTTGATTCAGCTCAAGGTTAAGTCTCTTCTATTCATACATAAACACTCTTAAAGGATGGAACCTTATAAGCTATTTCTGGAGTTTGGAGGACCATGATCATTTACTATCTAGTTAGGCCCTATAGCAAGAAAGAAAATAGATATTTTTAACCCCCCAAAATATTTACAGTGCCTTGTTTCCTTCCACTGGAGCAATACCACCTATTTGTTCCTTTAGTAAGCAATTGTGACTGGAGAGTCACAATTATAAATAAATAAAAGAATTATAAATAAAGAAATTTTTAAAAAGATTATAGCACCTCCCTCTTCTTAGCTCCGTGCTGGCTTCTTCACTGTCACGGGCCAGTGTGCTCTTTCTCTGAGCCTGTCTTCTCTAAGTAGACAGACAGAGATGGTGGAAATGTAAACCACTCACATTTTCTATGTTGTCTACATGCACAGACTTGAATTCTGAGAAACTGTGACTTGCATTTTCATTGCTTAATCCCTCTTTTGTCTGCCAAATGACATGAATTAACATGATTTTCTCTGGTAGTGGAAAAAAATAGAAAGCTTCAAATTGGTGGAATAATAATTGGCAACAAAGTGGGAAGTAGGATTCGTGAATCATTGCCTGATGACCTATTAAAGTTGATCTTAAAGTCCCAGGTGAAAGGAACCCAGGAAAATATTTTGTACTTATTTGTGCTGTTGGTGCTGAGCGCCGTGTCAGCTGTCCCCAGTGCAAGGACAGGGCTTGGGGTCAGTGCTTGGGTACCTGCTGAAGCAACACTGGAATCAGCACTCTACGTGAAATTATTAGATAAAACTTCAGCTTGTGAATTTCTAGTTCTCTTATTTTTCCCTAAGCTCTTCTCTAAGAATGTTTTATTCTCTTCCTTTGGGAAAAACAGTAGGGTGATTATTTCATTTGCATGGGCTTGGAGGACTAGTGATGGGAATGAAGAACAGGCTGGGAACAGAGGAAAAATCCAGAAAGAAATGACAGGAGGAGGTTATATGAAGACACACACACACACACACCACAATGAATGCTTAAATTAAAAATTTATAGTAAAAGATACATTGTCATTAATGCTCAAAGCTCTCTACCTCACTGTGCGCATACATATTTATCTCACTGTGCTTGTCACTTTCTGAAGCAGTTCTGGATGTTCTTTTTCTTGAATGTCTCCACAAAATCTAAGAAAACACAGTCAATGCTGCTGCCATGTGATGTTCAACAGAAATACAAGCTTTTAAAAACACCACCTGTGTCCTTATCCATCTTATTCACCAGATCTGACACCGTGCAGCTTCTAGCTTTTCCCCAAAGTCAAAATAATTCCAACAGGTAAACATATTGAATCAGTTCTGATCATTGAGTTAACCAAGGCAGAACAACTAAAGACCCTCACTAAACAAGACTTCTAGAGCAGCTTCAGAAAGTGGGAAGAATAATGAAATGTGTTTTCAAAGCAAGGGGAAGTATTCTGCAAGGAAGTGGAGGGGCTGGGGTGCACTATAGGACAGAAACGGGGCAATTACATTGGGAAAAGCAAAGTTTACATAAGGTTTGGGCTAACAAGCAGGTCTCCCTGCATTCAAGTAAGTTTAGATTGGGCAAACATCTTTTTTCCCTTAGCAGAGAATAGAGAAAGCTAGCAGTAATTAACAACCCCTGTTAGCTTATTTTAGCACCACATCTGTTATTTGCAGAGGGCAACAATGGTTAACATATCAACTAGTATTCTGAGGCAGATTAATGGCACTGTGTCTTTAATTTAGTTTTTCAAATATTCACCATATATTTTTATTACACTTTATGATGCCTGAGGTGGTGACCCGTCTTGACCTTTTCATTTTTCTCCTCACAGAAGTGTACATATCTTCTGGCAAACTGGCTGTTATGGTTGAACACTGTGTCAACTTGAGAACTTTAGAAGTTTAACTAAGAGATTCAGCAGGGAGCCAGGGTTCTGACTTTGTAAACATTCTCATCCTGTGCAAGAGGAGTGCAAGATTTTGTGGGTGCTACAGCCACTCTGGAAGGGGTGCGCTGGCCCGTATGCAGTATAAGGGAGGAGAAGTCACTTGTTCTCCCTGCGTTTTGCTCTGGCTGCTTTTGCTGGCTGCTACCTTGCAGTGTTACCCTTGTGCCATGCCACCCTGCACTGGAGCCAGCTGCTTATGGACCGAAACCTCCACAGCATTTATTTAGGTAAGCTAGATAAACCTTTCCTTCCTGCATTTAGGGTGCCAGGTATTTTGTTCCAGCAATGAGTGAAAAGTAACAACATAGGCTCCAACTTTGGTGTAGGGAAGCTAACATAGAGAGTCTATGACAGAAGGTTACTGCAGATTTCACAAAGAAGCGAGATCTAAACGCCTGCTGGCTTGTGCCGAGCAGACAGTATTATCCATGGATGTCCACAGCACTAGAAGTGCCATGTGGAAGCTTCTTGCCTTAACTAACAGCAACGCAGCAGATGAATTGGGTTGAGTCACTGCTCCAGTTCCTGTGTTACCCCAAATGTATCAGTTTAGATTCTGCTGCACCAATAAGAAGCTGTTTCATCTTCATGCTGTAAGACTAGGCTTTATTTTTTCCCACAAAATCTTCTTTAGATTCCTTTCCCACTAATGTCTTGATTAAACCTCTATTAATGGAAATGCTATTTATATGAATCAGATTATATGTGTACATTATTTTGCTGCCTATTGGAGGGCAAGAAAGAAAAAAGAGGTAGTTCATATTCTATGTAAATAAGATAGTGTTATTAGCATAATTTTATTTGTTTGTTTTTACTTGTATTATGTACATATGTTACTAGTACAAACAGAAGGCTAGAAACTAAGTGAATGAGAAGTAGGAATGAAAAATTTGGGGACAATCCTTTTATGATATTGATTTTTAGACTGTGAATTTATTCAGTGTGTTTTTAAAAACTTTAAAAACAGAAAAGAGAGTTCTAGGTGCATCAAAATTATTCTAAGGGAAGGAGGAAGCAAGAGCAATCGAGGAGGTGATGGCTGGTTTCATCTACTCAGGCTGCTAAAAAGATGGAAGCATTTTGCTCCCCCTCCTGCTGGTGAACCTAGCCTGTTTCTATTCTGCTCAGCTTAATGACTCTGACCTTAACTGTACGACTTGCACTCTAGCTTGATGGTTACTCTTGGTGTCCCTGAGGTTGTACACTGGTTTCCCAAAATGACTTTGACTTACACTATTCTGAGTTGCTATGTCTTTTGCTGCTGTGAGAAAGCAGCTCTGATTAATTTTTCATGCCATCTGATCCCACTTACCCTCAACACTGGATTTTTTTTTTTTTTAACAAGAGTGGCTATGCCCTTGCATTGTTTAGCTTGCCTTTTTTTTTTTTTTTCTGGATGACTACAAGTAAGTTATGATATGCAACTATTGGGAATCAAGGTGTAACAATTTGGACTCAGAGTGTCATCAAAAGGTTTAGGTGTTAAAGTGTTGATACTAGGGCTGGTGTTCTTGGAGGGCGATATACTTTCAAGAAGTGAGACGTACAGGGAGATTCAGGTCATTAGAGGTGTGCCCTCAAAGAGGGTTTGAGTATGTTTCTTTCTCTTTTGCCTGCTGGCCATGAGCTAAGTCCCATCACCCCACCACCTGCTTCCAGCCATCATGTTCTGACTTAATACAGGACTTGAAGTAAAAGGTACAAAAGCAACCGGGCTAACCAACTACGAACAGAAAGTTCCAAAACAGTAAAGCTGACATAGACCTTTGCCTTTTTAAAGTTGATTATCTTGTCTTTTTTTTTATAATATTGGAAGCTGATTAACACACACGTCTTACAATGAAATCATAATAAGCAAATAGTGTAAACATGTTCGTTTATTTATTACAGGTTTGCATTTCTACATGAGCTGCAGATACATATACATGATGTATAATGTTAGAAATGTACATAATGTATATTTTCCTGTTGTTTGGTGCTTTCTCTAAGTATTTATTGTGGTATAGGATGAAAGGACACTTACTTATCCTTTCTTGAGTGAATGAATGAATACATTTCTTTAGATATAAAATTAAATGTTTACCTGCTTCTGTGACTTTATCAGTTATATTAAATACAGTAACAATAAAAAATCATCATATAAAATAATAAATAACATAGCAAAAGCTAATACTATAAAAGAAACTAGTAGTAAGGAAGAATTTAAGGGCATCACCTTCCCTTAGGAGACCAGATTATTAATGATATTGTCATGCAATGATTGACAGTGGTGTGAGTATTTCTGAGTTGATACTCAGTATATTGAAGAAGTTGTTCAGAAGAATAGAAATAAGCAGGAAAAAATTTTAACTTGTTGGAACTTAAGTTAACAACTTTGAAGCTTATAGCTCATGCAACCAAATCTTACTGTCAGATCAGAATTTTTTCAATTTGGGGGCAAGGAGAATCTGCCAAAAAATAAGATACTCTTGGTTGTTTTGTGCATGATAAAGAAGAGGAAAGGATGGTCAGCCACAAACTGAGGACCAGCATGACCTGTTCTCCCTGTCACAGTGGCTCCAGAGCCAGCAGCTGCTACTGTTCCCTCTTCATTGACCTCTACTGTGGCTTTATGGAACACCTCAGAAAGAAACAGACCATCCCCGTCCGACATTTCTGAGAAATCGGCCTGGCCCTCATTGAAAGCATCCTTCATGCCCATGCTCCGCAGAATAGATTTGAGTTCATAACGTTCTTCTAATTTGAACTGAGGCAGGTAGACGTCTACATCATCTTCTGCAAGTGTGTCTTTGCTGGTCCACTTTCTGAAAGTGTCATAATTTATTTCACTTTCCAGCTGCAAACCAAAACAACAAACAAAAGGAACACAATGAGTTCAAGGAATGAAAACAACTCAAGGTCTAAAATTAATCCTTAGTGAAATTACTACAGTGTGAATAATATGAAAATTTAACAGATCAGACATTTTTAAGAAAATAACATGTATGACATGTTTAAGGCTTTGAATTGGAATTCTGAAATATGCCTCATATACCATCAATTCACATACTTCTGTGAGAAAGTCTACTCTACTTGCTAAGGCATAGATGTACATCTCATCAAAAGTAGGACTAGACCAAGAAGTTTAAAACAATTGAAATTGTAATGCCTCACCAACTCTAGGCCAGTGGATGTCTCAGCAATTACATCTGGAAGCAACAGGAACATGCTTACATCTCCTTTATATGGGAGTTCTAAGATCTGAGCCTTTAGGTCCTGTAAGTATCCTATGTTCAGCTTTTTACGTAAGTACATCATCTGCACAGGTACCTGTTGTGTCTGAAATTATTAAAAGTCAAATATTCAAGTCAATACTAAGGTCAAAAAGTTTAGAAACATAAAAGAGAATGAATTTTACTTCAATGTTGAAGAAATGTGTTTTTTAAATCAATGAATTAAATTATTTGTATATTCTTACAGTAGATATTCTTTTATTAGCTTTTTCAAGTTTTAACATCTACTTTTACTAAGACTGTTTCCCTGTTATAAGACATATAACAACAACAACAATAATAATAATAATAATATAACACTTCTCCAGTAGATAAGGACCAGAAACTCCACTGCTTTAATTTTTCTGTCTCTGAATTTTCTAAGACCCTAAGAACATTTTGAAGGAATGAATCTTGTCTCATACCAAGTTCACACGGAAAGGATAAAGTTTGTTTAGTTTCTTCTCAAATGGAGATTTCCATTTCCCTTTGAAGTAGACAGCATTTACCAGGACCATCTTTGTCATTTCATCGACAGAACCTTCAGGTAACAGGTTTGGAATTTTGCCTAAAGAAAACACATGTTTAGGTTTCATAATCAGGAACTGTGAAGTTACAGTTTCTTAAATCTTTCTAGTAGCCATCAAACTCACTGCTCATTTGTCAAACTCTGAAGCTCAAAGTTTTCTCTATGCTTACTTAAGGTACAAGTACAATTAGGACAAATTTCTCAAAAGGTTTATAAAATCCAAGAGAAAAGTAAGAAATATTGCATTTGAAGGAAAATAAGAGAAAGGCAATTTTTACTTTCATCTCTATAATTTGCTCAGATTTTCAGGTGTCTGGCAGTTACGTCAGAAGGAAGGAAGTAAAAGTATCTCTCAGGAAACAAAGGTGTCTTTCCACACTGTGCCACTCTCACTCAAGGCTTCTAGATCTGCACTATGGATTTGAAACATAAATCGATTTTCAAGAACATCTAAAGTTAAGGTAGACAAGTTAAACAAGAAACACTGCAGATGTAAGAGATGAGAAAGAAAGAATTAGCATGGATGAGCCTAGAGTGCTGGAAGAAACAATCAGCTGTAAAACAATGTGCAGTAAGTCTTGTAACTAGGCTAAATCATGAGGAGTATAGAGAAAGGGCAGAGAGTAACAAGGGAATCAGACAAGGTTCTCAGAAAGATGATCTGAGCATCATCTTTTTAAAAATGGTGTAACAAAGCATACGTTTATAGACTACACCTGCTCTGCAGCATTCAAACTATTACATAGGTTATTTCACTTAATCTTGCTACCACCGTACAGATGGTAAATTGGATAAAGACAGTATTTACAATTTTTATTTTCATCGCCATATTCAGTGCCTGGTATTTATCATGTGTTAGATAAACATTTGCTGATTGAATGAATAAATTCAATAACAATGAATGAATGACTTAATTAGGTTTGAGTTCTTGCATAAAATACACAGGGAAATTAGAGCTTATGAAAAAATCAGGGATTAAAATGGCACAAACGATTTAGACAGTCAAGAAGAAATGATACAGAGACCAAAATATTTGACAATAGGTTGGTTTTGAATAAAGAGAGAAGACTTAAAATAATTTCACAATCCTTTCCTCTTCCATTGCTGGTGTGAGTTATAACTCGCACCAATTACCGAGTTAAGCTTCAAGCCTTTTTTTTTTTTTTCCATAATAGGAACAGAACCACAATTATTTCAATACTAACATTTCCTATGTTTAAAAATTCCCGTTTCTCATGTTGTATATTCTGATTATATCTAAAATCAGGTTATATAGTCTAACATATATTTCTAACAATGGATCTCAACTATTCTTTCCTCACTGAAAACATTGTACAGTTAAATAGAAATAAAGCTATATTAGCAAAGTTAAACAGATTTCAAATGAATAAGGGTGAAGTTTAAAGATGATTTTAAAAGATGTTTCTTAGTTTTCTATATGGAAAGAATAAAAGAAAATAGTTTCTTGCTTTTACCTTTGGTTTGAGTATTGACCCAGGAATTAATTTCTTTTCTGGCTTCTTCTGCACAATTCTGAAAGTCTACTTTCTGAGGTTGTGTAGAATAATATTTCTTAGAGAGTTCAATGTATTCCTTTAAAGCGAGAAAATGCCAGAAGTTACACAGAATATATATTGAACAGGGCATGGTATAATCGTAAATTACAAGTGTCCAGTGCAGACTGGGAGGCATGGAACAGGAGGAGGGATGGAAACTGGCCATGGGGGCTGAATGAGGACATAGTGCAGACTGCGAGTTTTCCACCAACCCTGTGCCCACATTCCAGTCCAGCTCTGCCCTTTTGCCCCTTTTGCATTATAGACCCAGCATGGTGGCAAAGGGGTTGAACTGCAGGAACGATGGCTCTGGAAAACAGTGGGTTCATCATCCTATGCCTCTGCCAGCCAGATATTTGCAATAGGAAGGAGAGGAACCAACAGAGAAAGAATGTTGGAGGGCAATTATGGGAGATCAGTACTCCAGAGACCGCTTGGAATTTTGTATGAGTTGCAGAGAATCACTTTAAAACTGACCTCACTGCTAGCTTGGGGCCCAGCGATTTCAATTACAGGCCACTTACTTCCTTAAATCTCGCAGACTTCTCTGGGAACAGCTTGTTGACACTTTCCAATAAGTAATCCCCTGTGGGAGCACTGAGTGCTGCATTGAGAGCGCTGAAGGATGAGTGAACTTTGTCTTTTGCTTGCGTCTGAAACGGAAAAAAGGATCCACTTTTCACATCAAGGACTGCTAAGATATTTCTTAACAAAGACAACATTTTCTCAACACAACGATAATATTCATGCATATATTTTCCTTCAGAAGAATCTCTGTATAAGAAATTTTGGTAAGGCTAAGTTCCTTTAACTTAATTAGATAAAACGTATATAATTTGCTCAAAATTTTACTATCAATCAGATTCAACCAAGAAGTAGCGAACAGTATAAAAAATGCATGTTTCTTTTCAGTTTCTAAACTTCAAGATTTCTGAGGAATTGTCATTATTTTTAAAAGAATGAGTAAGTTCTGGGGGTCTAACACACAACCAGAACTCATTAGTGAAGAGTACTGTGTACCATATTATAAATGTCCTCATCTCCCACCCCCAACACACAGACAGTAGCTAGTTTTGGTTTTGGGTGTATTAAACTGAGCATAGTCATCATTTCAAAGTGTATATCAAGCCAAGACATTGTACAACTTGAACATGCATTCTTTTTTCCTGTCAATTATGATATTCTCAAAATTTTGGGGAAACTGCTACCTTGGTATCAAAGTTCATATAGAGTCTATAGGTACCCATTTTGGCAGGTAGCTGATGCAATGGGTTTTAGAAAATGACAGAAATGAATGAAACGTCCATTGTTCACTCTGTATTCTAAGTACTGTGAGAGATACACAGTCAGTCACAGCCACAGCCTGGAGTGGAGAGAGGGACAGATCCTTCCAAAGGACTGCCAGTGTTTCACGCACTTGGTGAAAGCTTCTCCACCCTCTGGCCCACAATGCAATGGGTGATGTGTGGGTAGATTATACTATGTCCAGGAAGGAAGCTGTGAGAGCCATCTCCCCATAATCTAAATCGTGAGCATCTTAGTGGAAATTGGTTACCTACAGGAGTACAGCCATTCCCAGTCCCTGTGATGTAGCTGGATAACTGATATTTAAGGAAATAGAATACTGAGATGGAGAAGTAATACATGGATAGGTAGTTAATCTAAGAATCAGGAACTTTCAAGCAGTTATTAGGTCTGGTATTCACCATTCCTCCATTATTTATCACTCTCTATCCTCTCTTTCTGGAAATGTTTCTCCATGTATGTATTCTAGGAGTCTCTACCAGGGTAGAGAAAAGTTTTATTTAAAATACTTGTAACCACTTAATAACAGAAGGACATAATAGAATTTAGAAACAACTTAATAACAGAAGGACATAGTAGAATTTAGAAACAATTTAGAAACAACAGCTCTGGTGCTGCCTTTTATTTTTGGCTAACTTTAGAATATTCTAGATTCTAGAAGCAGAATACAAAAGAAATATGAACAAATGGGTCAGGTACCTTAATAGCATCAGGATAGGTTTCTTTCTGTATCTTCTGGGTTAAATGACAGCCAGTGAATTTCTCTGGTCTCCCTGCCACAACATCATAGCCACCAACTTTGTGGAACTGAAGCACCTGCAATCAGAATCAGGAAGGACAGTGATGCTTTATAATAAATTACTTAGTTTAGAAAACTAATGTCTATCAGGTGCCTCCAAGTGGTCTTCTGTCTGATTCTGTACCTCTGAGTGTGGGAAGCAAGCACAGATAACATTTTTGATGTGATGTGGAAATGTCAGCCAATCTAAATTTCCCTTGCAAGAAACTGCAAGAGATAATTTAAACTAATTTATGTCCTGTCCATTTTGGAAAACAACTTACTATTACATGATGATTTAAAACCTCTTCGCTAAACTATCTAAATTGTTACCCCAGCCCATAAATTATCTTGAAACATAAGCCAATATTTTAATGAAAATGAGACAACTAATTCAGAGACTTTCATCTCTTTGCAGTTATTTTATATATAAAGTATCAAAAATGGCAAGCCAAAATTGGATAAACAAGGATTATTGAAAATTTTTATATCAGCCACACTCACACGGCTGGGATGAGAGGGATCCAAGTCTGCAAATGGGCAAATGGTTGGGATTTTACTATAAAGGAAAGGAAGGCAGATTCAGCCACCTAGTGAATTTCTGGGCTGAAAGGAGAAGTTCTAGTGCTTGAAGGGGCCATTGTCTGTCCCTCAAAACCTTCTGTCATACATTCTGCCATCCTATCTGAAAAAATGTGACCCTACTCTGTCCCCACCTAGGGAAAGAATGTTACCTTTCACAGTTCCTCTGGTTATCTTCCTTCCAAGGTAACTGACCCAAAATAAGGGTTCTCCTGGGCTGGCATTACCTTCTTGAATCACTACAAATGTCACAAGGGTAAATGTTCTTGCAAAAGTGGACCCTGGGCCATTCTGAAGCCCAAAGAGTAAGTTTGACCTGAACAGGTCCCTGACCTCACTGTAAACATGAGAGCCGGTAAAATCATTTTGTGCTGGAACACGGAGCTCTAATAACCTGTGCTTTCATTTATACATTTTGTTTCTTTCTTCTTTCACTACAGTTATACTCTCTCTTACAGGTACACCATTTCGCAGCTAGGTGGTCTCTTTCTGACCTAATTTTCTCATCTATAAAGTGAATATGATCATCACAATTACCTCATAGGGTTTTGTATTGTGAGTAAACTACTAACAAGTTCTTAGAAAGGTACTATGCCAACAACTACTAGCTACTATTGCAATTGCTACTAGGTACTTTACACATTAGCACTAATTGTCACAGTGATTTTTACAGGCTATGCATTTGCATTCCTATTTTATAGATGATAAAGTTGAGATTCAGAGGATTTCACATGTTTAATAAATGGCAAAACTGTAACTTAAAGAAAGATAAGTCTGCTGCCCTGAAAACCCATGCTTCTACCTCCAGACCAAGGAGCTTCCCTTTCTTCTTAATCAGGGAGAAATTAACACTGAATTTTAAAATGTGCAGATGCCACGGAGTTAAAAGGAGGTTGTATAAAATCTTAGCACAGCTGCAAGTTCTGAAAGCAATTTCTAATATAGAAAGCCTATGCTGTGTCCAGAGTAACCAATAAAATGATTTTTTTCTTTCATATTAAAATCAAGGCTTTTTTCCCTTTAAACAAGCCAGAGCCCTCATTTAGCACTTGTCCTCCAAATATATTGCTTTATATTCTTTTATACTTACAACCCTGATGTTTTCTAAGGTTCTCACTGCAGTTTGCTATTTTTTTTTCAAGGAAAGAAATAAAGGTGAGGGAGAAGTTGCAAAACTGCTGGTATCGAGTTGAGCAGTTGAGTTTTATTGTAAGCCTTGATGCTTAAGCCATCAAACACAAAGAGAGTGTTCCTTCTATCTTTTGTCCTCCTGCACTGAGACTGACCAGTGCTCTCCAAGTGAAACCTCATAATTCAAGGGAGCTCCACCACAAATGGGTCACTATGTTCTTGAGAAAGATACATTTATATGAAGGTGCAATACTCCTGGGAAACCAGAAACAGCCCCTGGCATTTTGGTGTGACTCAAAGCACAAAGCATGCTTATACTTAAGAGTAATCCATTTAGCATTTGTGCAGATGTGAGTGACAAGGAATCTTAACTATATGCTGACCACATCGTGGTCATTGACCTAGAAAATAACAGGCTGGTAAGAGTTTTAGGTTTGCTAAATGGGTCACCTAGAAATGTTACACTGAGCAATGGATGTGGCTCAGCATATTAAGGCCCACACGGAATTCGAGGAAGGGTTCCCTCCCTAACTCTTGTCAGTTCACTAAACAAGGCAGAGGTCTTTACACAAAAATCACTGGCAGTGCCACTTTACACCCTATCTGCCTTGATTTTGAAGATTGGCTGTATATGATGTTGGGTCCCATTGAGTGGACATGGCTATAATAGGATGGGGTTCTCTGAAGCCACACTAACCTGTGTTTCCCTGTGAATGTGTGACCATAGGCAGGGTTCATATTTTGTTTCTGTGATACTGTCTTAAACCAGAAAGAAGAATTCTTTATAGGAGTGGAGAATGAACATACCAGACACAGTGGCAGAGTGATGGGATGGAGTCTGAACCACGAAACCATGGGCAGCCTTGGGGTAAGGGTTTCATTGACACTAATATCTCTAAAATGGTATTTATCTTAAAGTAAAGTACTCTACATTGTGTGCAAAATATTCCTTTTGAAAATAGGACTGATATCTAGAATATATAAACTTGAAAAAAATCAGAACACCAAAAATAAAACACCCAATCAAGAAATGGGTAAGTGAAATGAACGGACACTTGTAAGAAGTAGAATTGGCCAATAAATACACGAAAAAGTGTTTGCATTAGGCAAATGCAAATTATAACAACACCGAGACTCTATTTACTGAAAGAATTACTATCATCAATAGTCAAATAATAACAAATTGTTGGTGGAGCTGTGGGGAAAGGGAACATCTCTACATTGCTGATAAGAATCAAGACCATCACAACCACTTTTACAATCAGTATGGAGGTTCCTTAAGAAACTAAAACTAAAAATCCCATCCAACTCAGCTATTTCCCTTATATTTTTCCAAAAGAGTTAAAGACATCATATTTCAATGATACATATATATGCTTGTTTATAGCAGCATAACTTAAAATAGTTAAATCTTTGAAGTGGCCAATATGTTCATCAACAGATGAAAATGTAGTATTTATACACAATGTATTTCTACGTATAGAAGCATATTTTTTTTGAAAAAGAAGAATTTTGAGTCATTTGCAGGAATATAGATATACTTTAATATTAAGTGAAATAAATCTGACACATAAGCTTAAGTATCATATGGATTCTCTTGTATGAGGAACTCAAAGCATAATAATTTAAAAGGCAAAATGGAAGATACATAATACGAAACAGGGAGATAGAGAACCAAGAAATGGAGAGGGGTGAGAGAAACAAAATGGAAAATAACAAAAAAGTAAATGTGTTGTGTACATGTACCATTCACATGAAGAGTGTAACCTTATGTACTGCAAAAATGTACTCAAAAATGAAAAAAGTGTGAGCAGTATGTTATTAAAATGAATGACATCACATGTAACTATTTTCAGTTTTGCAAGATAACAGAGTCTGATATGCCTTTTGCTATCTATATTTGAGGGATCTTCTGCTTTGGTTGTTATATAATTTAATTTTAACAAATCAGAGTTGTAAGGACTAGTGAATTATTAGGATGCCATGATTGCTGCCTCTTTAGTCAAGATGCCCTGGGCATAAAACAAGACTACTTTGGCTCAGGAATCACTCGGTCTACATGGGAAGCTTCATTGCAAGCTTACCTTGGCTATCTGGTCTTCAGTGTTGCCCCCGGAACCAAGGTAAACCATGGCCATTGTGGATGAGATGCTCCATGGAGACAAGAAGAGGTTCTGGGTGGGGCTTGCTTTTGCCAGATGCTTGAACAAATTGAGTGCAAACATAGTGTTTGCCACAGAAAGGTCTTCCATTATTTAAGTCTGGAAGAAAAATGAAGAATGTTAAACAGCTCTAAACCACAGTGCAGCATTTTAGGCGAGGCCACTGAGCAGTGTAGCTATACCCTGCATCCTCTTCATAGGATAACATAAAAGAGGAGAGGGAAAGCTTTAAAGTCACACTAACTGTGCATTCCCTAAAACTCCAGTATTGATGCAACATTTTCACTGTCATCCTCTTCACATTCTTAATTTTAAACAAGAAACTCTGCATTTTCATTTTTCACTGGACCTTGTAAATTATGTAGCAAATGCCGAGGTATGTCAAACAGTTAATTTTATGAACCTTAGTAACATTTTGTGTCGGTCCATAGAACATGTATAATAACAGTAATGACAATGAATAACATTCATTGAGTTCTTATTGTCTGACAAGTGCTCTTGTAAACACTTTACCTGAGCTAATCATTTAATATTCATTAAAAGCCTGATATTTCTGTTTATAAAAAAGAAATGGTTACACAGAGAGATAACGTGACACTTGTCACTCACTTGTCAACTATAAGGGTAGGAGTAGGAATTGGACCCACGTAGGTGGCCACAAGGATCAGGTCTTCCACCTCAGGTGCGCCCACTATGCAACCTGCACATGTCCACCACACACCACACACAAACTCACGTACCCACGTATGCACATAGACACACATACATTCAAATGTGTGCTAGGGCACACATCTTCCATTGGGCTTCACTGAGATGACCCATCGTATTTCAAGTTCTCTGCTTCTGGAAGCGCATAGGTTATGGTAGTTTGGAGAGTTACAACTTTTACATAGCACTTCCTGGACCCTCTCCTGCATATACCACAAATAGCCTTGTGCTAAAGTAGTTCCCATTTTGTGGAGCTCATTAGTGGGGTACTGGAAGAGATCTTTCTGACCTCCCACCCATTGATGTAAGGAAGCCAATGTTAGGCAGGAATGCAGAGACAATCCCAGGCACAAATTACAAAACATCACTCAGCTTATCACTCATGTGAAAATAAGTGACACACACACACACCCTCCATGACTTAGAGCTCTGTGTATAAGATGCTTGAACACATTCTAGCATTTGTGTGTGTGTTTGTGTTAGTACTAATCTTTCTAGTTGTATGTTTTCCTTTCATCACAATTTTAAGGGATGCTGATTATTATCAGGATACTTACATACATCAAGTAATACAGACACCCATCATCTCTTGAGCCTCCATGATAATCACTTCTAAGAACTAAAGAAGGGCTGGCAATGCCCTCGGAGGAGCTATGTATCTTACCTAGCAGGGTTTTGGAGCAAGAACCATTTGTCACTTGTCTCTCTTATTCAGAGTCTCTTATGTGAACCCTCCTCTTTTTCAAGAAAATGATTAGAATTTGCATCAAAATTCCTCATTTGAATTATGATTCAATTGTATTTTATCAAGATGAGAATGGTAAATTAACACTTGCTCCAGAAATTCTCTCTCCTCTCTTTCCTCATTCAATCTTCATAGTATCCACAGGAGGTAGATGTGACTGCTTCCATTCTATAGATTCTCAGAAAGGTTAAGTAACTTTCATAAAGTCACACAGCTATTACATAGTAGTGCAGAGATTCCAGCCTACGCCTGCTTCAGAAAGACCATTCTTTCCCATGTCTCTCACTTCCTCACTTACGACTGTTTGTCTTTCCTGTGATGTGTCAGAGTTTAAGCAAACTGTAGCTTGAGAAACACTAGAAAGAGGAAATAAAAAGAAGGAAATAGAGAATCTGCAATGCTCCTAGAAAGTTCACTAAATTTTTTTAAAAATTACTTTCTTTTTTGCTTCCTCAACGGTGGCTCAGAAATTTTTTTCTTTTTCCTTTTGCTGAATTTTCACTTTAACTTTTTATTAGTAATTGGGTCTGTGTCAATTTTCTAAATCAATTATCCAATCATGTTTGGGAACAAGCTGAGGATTGAAAATATAAATACAGCATTTCTCTATTTTCATATGAAAATGGAAACCAGAAAACAGGCAAAAAATAAATTCCTATAAATTTTCCTATCCCACATTCTTTGTAACAGTCTACATAGTGAGCCATCAACTTGATAGACAAAACTTAAGTGTTAAAGTAAACCATCAGAAAAGGCTATTGTTACTGTTCAGAATTAAAGTAACTTGGTAAGAACAAAAAGCGAATAAGAACAGAATTTGTCCCAAATATGTTTACTTTTTTAAAAAATCGAATCCCATTTTTAAAACAGGTTGTAATTAACTGCATTTAATGTAAAAAAAATTGCCCACAATATTTAACGACCAATGACTTCATCCACCTTTTCATTTAATTTGCATAATTACTTTCCCAGTAAACTTTAGGCACTTCTGTTACACTAATGAAATGTGAAGGTGTGCATGCATAGCTCCTTCACTCCAGGGCCTAGGTTTCTAGTTCCAAGTCTAGTGCTTTTTCACAATCTTATCACATAAAGGTTTAGAAATGGAAGGCGGCATGCTCATAATGTTTTCTGACTCCCACAGAGTTTCCATCCCCATATTTGGATGGGGATCTACCAAGACAATGCAGAACTGGACTTACATGGTGAAGCCTATAACATAGCCTCCCAGAATAGATACATCTATTGTGAAGTTCTTAATAGTAGAATAAGTCATACAATTGCATTATCTTCCAAACATCATGCTCCTAGTAATACTAACATTTAATATCATCCTTGGAAGTCAGGTGCAAGGCTGGGCTCCCTGATGTGTGTACTGATTCTGGCTGGGCAGGTTGTCCAGTGCAGCCCTGAAACCTGGCAGAGGTGAGGAGTTAGGCAGGGCCCAAAGCGCGGCCACAGCCCTCTTTCCATCAGCTCTGGGTGAGACTGAGCTATTTATTTTTTTTTTATCATTTTAAGTAAATTTTTTATGTGACTACATATTGCAAATAACTTGAAATTGACCATAAACGGCAATGAAAACTAAGAAAGTTGTGAGGAAATATCCCTTCAAAAAATACCACCTGTCTCCCTGACAAGTTGGAAACAATTTCATTTCCTTGATGTTCAAAAGAAATATTTACCTTTTTATGGAGTGTTGAATTATCTATTTAATCCATCAACTAGCTGATTTTTCTCTTTAATGTAATTAATCCATTCTTCAATTAAGTTTGATAAACCTATTCTGATACTGGATTGATCCAGCCCAAATTGATGCTTAATTTCTATAGTTTCTGTTAATTTTAGAAAACAAATTAATTTCTTTTTCCTTTTATTTATATATAATGTAAATATTGCTTTTAATGGCTTTACTAAAAATGTTTTAATTTATATAGATATTTCCAGCAAATGTATTTTCAAAACAATAACTAGAATAGAATATATACATTTCAACCTGCTCAGTAACATTACAATCACACCTTGATTATACATTTTGGTTTGAATAATACTAAATAGTCACTCACTGGCTTCTATGTTTCAAAATTAAACCTTATTATAAATTTCATTCAAATTCTGAACTAAAAGTTTTTCAGTTAAATAAACAACTAACCAAGATAACACCACCACTGTCTACAAACACCTCACATTAGAATTTTTAATGGTAACAATGCCAATGTGAAGGAAGAGGAAAAAGTGGAAACCATGCATCTCATGGAGATGGCCATGGAAACTGCAGGAATACCTTGTTCTCTGAGGTGCTGTCCGACTGGAAATGCTCCCTGGAGAGTGTCATAGTTCAGACGTGGTAATGACTGGTTTTATAAGGCTCTGCCCCTCCCACACAGCTTTTTTTCTTTTTGATTTGTATACTTTGTGTGATTCAGCATTTTACTCAGAAGGATATCATTAAAATCTAAGGCGGTAGTTCAAGAAAGCTTTTGGAAAGATGACTTCATCAGAAATTTAAGAATTTAGCAATACCTACATGTGGTTCTCAAAATAGCTAAAATCCACCCCCTCCACACACACACCCTCAAATCTTTCTCCCCTCAACTTCCGGTGAATGATGATAATTCCATGCTACTCTTACCTTTGAACAGACCTAACCTGTGGGATTTTTGTGACACAAAGATTCAGTGTGTAACCCCTCTTCTCTTTTGAGCATAGACAGACACAAATAATCTATGGATGAGAGAAGGAAGAGAAAGCCACAATTTTTTTGTCTTACAAATTCTCTATTTTAAACCTTTGCAATTTCTCCAACTCTAATATTCTAAGTAACTCTGAGTTGCACCCTAGTTTCTTGTCACAAGCCACATCCAAAGAACTTTTCATTTGCTCTTAATTAAACCATAGATGTTATCCTATTTTAAACAGTGACAATCCATTGTATATATTGTTTTATAATTCTGGGCAAATTGTAGACCTTAATTGGAAATTATGATCTTGAAAACTTGAGAAAATCTTCAGATTTTTAGACATGGAAAAAGGAATTTGGTAAACAAAAGTAGGTAAACATTATAATATAAATCTAAAATGTTCATTTTGTTAGAGCTTGAAGCACATTATAAAGGCAATTTTTTCCTTGATTTTTCTTGAATTGTTTACATTTATGTTTATGTAGCATGGACCAGGGTGAGGGACAGGGAAGGCACCACGCTCCTCAGCTGGAGTGGTGATCTCTGGATCTGTGTTTGATGAGCTGCAAAAACAATCTTGGTTTCTATGAGCCCAAGTCTGGGTTCAAGTCCTGTGTGCCCATTGTGGGTTGGCTGTAGTTCACCACAGCAGAGGTTGCTCACCTTGCCAATGTGAGTCTCTGGTCACAAAGGACTGAGGTATCTTAATTCAAACCCTTTCCTATTGTTAGTAGAACAGTGGGGTGGACATGTTCTTCAGAATCTTCCTGGAAGTCAAAGCCAAAATTTATTTGTTTTGTTTTGTTTTTTAGTTGCTAAAAGATGTCAGATTACAAAAATAAAAAGTCGTGCAAGCTCATTCTTATCAATGATCTTCCAACCCCTTAAAACGCCTCATTAGACCATAGGAAATTTTGAACCACTACTGACGTTTTGTAAGTTTTATCATTGCTTGGTACTCAAATCTGTCATCCAAAGAAGAATCAACAAATTATTTCTTAGTGACTTCTTTCCCATTTCACCTTAGGTAACCCCAGAACCTCTCTGATGATGACTGTGTGACCAATGTGTTCAACTGTTCTTTTACCACACTTTGGTAGCTCAGTAATTTGCTGTCGATCTTGAATGTACCTAGACACCAGTCACCCTTCGCTTAACTCAGCTTTTCAGATTGTGCTGTTCCCCACCTTGTCACTTTCCCTCAAGTCATTCTTTTCAAGGGAAATGCCATCCTTCTCCCCACTGATCCAAATCTGTGAGTTTCTGTTTGCACTCCATGGATTCCTTGAAGTCCCTTTTGAGTTTTAACTTCCAGTGAACTCCTTCTGTATAGAAATGTGGCTCTTACCCCAGAATTACATATCTATCTCTAAGTAGGTAATATACTTGGCTCTCCTTCAGCAGAAAGAACAATGATAAACATTGACTGAAGAAATAAGTAAGATGTTAAACTCGTCTAGAGAGGCCCTCTTGTGAGGTAGTTAGGTTTTGAAAGACCTGGTTTAAGTGCTTTTACCACTTACCGTGTAATCTTACATATTTTTCTCAACCTCTGTAAGCTTTAATTTTCTAATAACAGTACACAACTTGTACTGTTGATTTTCTACACAAAATCAGTCTTGTTCTGCAACCAATCTTTCTGCTTCTGTTCAACAATTATCCAGAGATTCCATAAAAAGATGTGAAATTACATATAAACCTGTTTCTTGGTAACCTGTTATAGGAGAATTGGGGATGGTGGGATGTTCAGGAAAATAGTTTCTGTCCTGATCACATTGAGCATGTTGGTATTAAAATGTGATACCAGAAGATGCTATAGGCCTGAGATACTAGAATGTGTTACAGTCCTGAATCAGCCACAGAGGAAGGCTGAGAAATATTCAACTATGCCAAGCCAGAGCTGTCACGTCAGAGAATTCCTAAGCAAATGTCAGAAACCACTTGATTCCAGTGTTTGCACTTCTCTTTTTCATGTGAGATACTAAAAAATATCTCTATATTACTTATGCACTGTGAGACACTTTGACTGCTCTGTCACTTGCAGGCAAAAGCACTCCTAAATAACCTAGATTTTTGTGAAGAACCAATGAGGTAATATTTGTCCAACACTTGATGTTCGGTTCTTCCTGTAGTAAACACCCACCATATTAGCTGGCATAAAGGAGGGTTGCTGGTGGTCAGATTTGGGAGTTGCTTTTTTACCTGGAGCAAAATGATTTCACAAGTTCAGCATAAGACAAGACTTTCACTTGTGAAAGGAATAGAGAAAGTAGAAAAGATAATATAAAATTAATAACCAAATTGACTGCCATCAAGTTAATGGAGGGCAAGAGGAAAGGATTGACAATGTTTGTTAGGCCTTTGAGGAATGGCTCAAGATGATTTTTTTAAATTGTTTTCTTAAGACAATTCTTCTTACGTAGTTCAGGCTGTCTTTAAATCATTACGTAGCCCGGGGGCCTCAAATTCATGATAATTCTCCTTTCTCAACTCTGCCTCAACTCTACCTAGTAAGTCACTGGAAGGAAAAGCAGAGTCACCACAAAGTGTTCCTTATCACTGTAAAGTAAATACAATCAAGTTTTCCCAATAGCACTTGCTACACCGCAGGGTAGATTCACGATAATCCTCCTTCCTCAACTCCCAAATGCTGGGATTAAAATATGCTTTACAAAGTGAAAGCTGTAAAAGAGATGGCCCTAATAATCATAGAAGGAAGAAATAAAATCATCTAATGGTTTCCTGAAATCAGCCTGGAGCCAAGTTGGTATTATAGGAGAGGCAGAGGAATAAAGGACATGGATCACATCGAGGAGCCTCTGATCACAGAGTTGCTAGCTAATCTGAAGGCGGTCTGCTGCAAACCTTACAGAAGCAAAATAAAAAGAGTTTTAAAAAGAAAAATGTGGAAATTCCGAAAAGAAAGAACATGAAGAACTTTGCATACGTCACAGTGATCTGCTTAGTAAGTCACTGGAAGTAAAAGCAGAGTCACCACAAAGTGTTCCTTATCACCGTTTAGTAAATACAATCAAGTTTCTGAAAGAGCACTTGCTACACTGCAGGGCAGATTGCTCCATGGGAGTGGAACAGTGAAGCAGAAACTCTCTTCCTATTTTTAAAGACAATGTCTATGAAATAATTAAAACAACAAAAAAGAAAAGACATAGCATTTATATATATATATATATATGTGTATATATATATAATGACATCAACTATGTAAATAAAATATGTGCTGAAATACAATGATCTTGTAATCCACAAACAAGCCCTCCACAGCCCCCAACCTCAAGTCCAAAAATGGGGCAAAACATATTTTTTTTTAAAAAGCAGAGCTGATTTATTTTATCCTGGGCCTAGTGACACAGTGCAGCTGGAGTTTGCAAAAGCTGTGTGTCTTCCTCAAAACTTTTCAGACTTTTTGTAGAAAACGCAGTTGACAAAGTAATGGGTTATGGGTGTGGATCAGGAAATCTGCTAATGAATGAGGAAGACCTTTGTTTCCCTTAGCAGAGGACAGAGAAGTCTAGCAGTAATTAACAATCCTTTGTCAATCTATTTTAGCACTCAAAAACCTATTTTAGCACCCAGAAATAATGACTCGTACAGAACAGTATGGCGGAGATACAGGTACTTTGGTCATATAACTTAGGCATAACACAAACATAATGAAGCTCTTTTTGCTAATGTACAACAGATGAGAGAAATGTGTCAAAACTGGGTGGTGATTTTATAGATATTTGTCACTTTTACACTTCAAAAATTTCCCGCATGTTTCCTAATAGATATGTTACTTTTAAGATTAAAATATATTATCAAGCGTCTCCTTTGAGCATCTGCTTTGAGTATTTTCCTCCCCAATGAAAATGAATCATTCATAAAGGAGAAATAATATCATAATGAGGGAAATCGTTTTATAAGTAAAATGCTAGTATTTTAATTTGAGGACTTGCATGCAATGTGCTGCCTCTTTGCTATACTTGTCAAGTGGTTACTGAGTAGACTGTGTGGCTAACCATTCGGTGGCTCTGTCACTTACTGTGTGGTAATGACCATGACCTTTGCCATGATGGTCTCCAGTAGTTGAAAGAGGCATTTGGTGCACATTATGTTCAGCACATTTCAATTCATTTGAATTCTCACCACTTTGAATGAACAACGACTTCTACAATTACCCATTTTATATGACTTGCGACAGGCATGGAGTATATAAGTCATAAAAATGTATCACCTCTCCAACAGCAGTGAAACTATTAACATTATACAAATCATGATACTGTTAGTACAAAGGAAGTACGTGAAATTCCATACAATAAGTTTACTTATTTTTTATTTTAAGTTAGAAATATTATTCGTATTTGTTTTTATTTAGTTTAAAATATAAAAATATCAAGATTCTTACACCAATTATCTCAAAGATCATGCAAAGCAATTCATTGTGTACAACACTAATTTCTCTCTTTCAGTTTTTCTGCTTTATACTGTGGTGTGACTGACAGAAAGTTGGATATACTGTGCTTGGTTGAAAAATATCTTTTTATAAAAACGTACAGGGCAGTTCCTACATTATCTGCAAGTGCATTTACAAATACTGCTTATTAAGCATTTAAAAGTTGTTAATGCATAATAAATACAATCAATACTACTTAGCATTATTATTTAATA